TATTAAGTGAAATTATATTATAATTGTATGAAAGGCCCCCAATTTGAGGGGAGAAGGTGGGATGTACGTAGGAAGGAAGGAAGTTAGGAGGGAAGTTAGGAAGGAAGGAAGGGGAAGTCCAATTCCACTCTTGCTCATGATTGTCTCTAGCACAATATGTGTAGAATAAAATAAGAGGATGCCCGAGGCAAGAGCAGAAGATACTTGGGGTTTGAAACAAAGTAGACTCTTTTTCAAAGCCCTGCTCCGGACCAACAATATGTTATTGTTGTTGCTGTTGTTGTCATTGTGTGCCTTCAAGTCATTTATGACTTATGGCAACCTGAAGGCAAACCTATCATGGGCTTTTCTGAGGCTATGAGCATATGACTTGCCCAAGGACTGAGTATTCAAACTCTGTTCTCCAGAGTCATAGTCTAACACTCAAATCACCAAGTCATGCTAACTCATACAACTAAAATACTCTCCCAAAATGTGGATTAGATTTACTTCTGAGTTGGCATTACATTCTGAAACTCTCAAATTGTGGAATTACATTCTGAAATCATGGCTCTCAAAATCCCTCTGAGTGTGTGCAGCCTCTGAGCTTTTCTCAAGTAATGCCCACATATTTGTAAACACCATATATCTTTACATCCTTATGGATTATTATTATTATTATTATTATTATTATTATTATTATTATTATTATTATTATTTACCACACTTGTACCCTGCCCTTCTCACCCTGAAGGGGGAGTCAATGCCATATACACATATACATATCAATAAATAAACAACTGAATTAAAATCAGAAACACTACAACCATCTGATGCCTCTTTCTCTTCCTTCATAAAACAATTGAATGTAAACTGAGATTCAGAACTCTGTATTTAATATTTACCACCAAATTCTTCATTTGTGTAGTGTGCTCATGATGGACTATTTTATTCATTTATCTAACCATATTTCTATCCTATTTTTCTTAGGTGGAATACAAACCTCTTTTTAGAAAGTAATAAAAATACTTTCTAAATGTCATAGTGCATAACATTGTAGTTCACCAGTGTGAGTATTTTGTGAAGGCAAAGGAAGAATTTGGCTGAGATGGCTGTGCCAACTAGATAGATGTCGCTATTGCATTTGAGGAAAAAGAAGCCAATTGTTAATGAAAGAGTGATAGAAATGCAAATAGAAAGTCTGAACATGAAGCAGCACTTTAACCTTAGATTTATTTTATTTCATTCTGCCTCTTCCCAGAGGTGTTCTATCATTTCTTTCCATTCATACGGACACAAGCTGCTGCTGTTAAAAATATTAACTCTCTCTGGCTTACATTTTTATTTTTTTCTAAACTGTTCTTATTGGAAAGTCACAGTGATTGTCTCTAGTCCTCATAATCACCCAGACAACCTAATGAAACATAAATACCAACCAATTTCTCCAGAAAGATGGATAATTTTGATTCAGTCTCTGCTATTCTGCATGAATAATAAATTTTAGTTTTGCCAAATGAGCACAGAAGCTGATCAGGACCAGCTACAGTGAAGCAGACTTAACAGACAACAATTCTAGGAATTTGCTAGATATAAGGCAAAAACGTATGAGGGACCTGCCCATCGTTTCTCCTTCTCATTCTAGAAGGGACCACCCAGAACTGTCAATGGCATTTAGACCTTTAGGCAGTGTCTGCACAGCCAAAATAAAGTGGATTCCCTGCTCAGCTGTTGCAAGGAGTCTACACAATGCAGCAAAACCACTGCATCCAGCTGTTAATCTGCATCAACGGAACACAGAATTTACTCTGGAGTTTTCTGGAGGCTCTAGACTAGTGGTTCTCAACCTGTGGGTTCCCAGATGTTTTGGCTTTCAACTCCCAGAAATCCTAACAGCTGGTAAACTGGCTGGGATTTCTGGGAGCTATAGACCAAAACACCTGGGGTTGAGAACCACAGCTCTAGACTTATCCCACTGTTCTGGAAGTTTGGGATCCAGCCTGATCCGTTGCCTGCACCATCAAAGGTCCCACCACCATGTCGCTGCCAGTAAGCAGCTTCCTCCTAGAGGCTTGCTGGCACTGTTGCCTTTCTAGTGGTGTCATTTTAAAAGCAGCTGAGAAAGTGGAGCAGCAGAGATTAATTGGGATAGTGCCCACCAAAACTGGAGGGCATACAACTATTTTCTGTAAGGGAGCAACTGGAATTAGTCTCTGATTCTTTTTCTTCCTCCACTAAAAATACTGTGCTAGAAGGCACATGTAAATTGGGAAGAAGCTGGTGGAGGGCTACTTACCTGAAGACTAACTTAGTTGAAGATTGACTGCACCTTTCTTTTGTGTAGACCTTTGGATCAAGACCAATTAAAGCTGTGCGATGTTTCACAAAGATTAAATTTGATGGAACAGTGGCATGCCACACTGACATGTTGCTGCATTGGAAGCAACCCTTGATCTTTCTGGATGCTCTCTAAATAAATCATGAAAGACATGAAATCTGGAGTTCTCCCCATTAGTATATGTTGAAGAATCTCTGTGGGAGAGGAGCAGTGCATATTTGTGTTTCAGTGTGAAGAGAAGGACTTAGTTTTTAGTATTAGCTGACATTTGTAGCTTCTGTGGATTGCTTCCTATCGTCGACATTCTCCTGTTTTATTCCCAGGGCTTTTCACAGTGTAACATTTCTCTCAGATCTTGGAAAGGCTCTGATCCAAAAAAAGTAACTTTGGAAGTTTTATTTTTCCTACCAATACCAATGGTGTGTTTGTACACATGCACATATTTGTTACAGAATAAATTAGCATTTTGCAAAATAAGAGAGGAAAAAAAACAGGGCTTTCAAAATGCTCAACAAGCAACAACAGAAAACACAATTTGCAGCCAGTCACTGTCCTTTTGAATGTTAATTACACATTTGCCCTGTGTGAATTCAATACACAGTGCCAGTTGTGCTCGACACGCCACTCCAATTACAAAACCTACTGATGATGATAAATTTTATAGGGGAAGATCTGAAAAGCATTTAATTGCTTAGCCATATTACACAAACATTTGGGATGCACATTTAAAGCCATCCTGATCTACTGTGCCAGTCTTGCTTGGGGGGGAAGCATTTCTGTCAGTCCAAGCTCCCAAGCCTATTGAATCCTTGTGCCGATTAAAATGTTCATTCTGATGCAAAGGGCAGGATCCCCCTTTGTGCTTGCATATGTTTTTTGTCTGTAACATTTGGGCATCTAGCATGAGATGGACGAAATATGTGGCCTTCCGGATATTGTCAGATTGCAACCTTAGCAACAACTGTAGGGCCACACATACTTCATCCACTATTGAAGGATATGCACTACTAGAGCCTTTTACAAGGGATTAAAAAGATACTCTTACTGCCTCTGTGGTAGTCACTCTGTGTTCCATCATGGTTTCTATAAGGATGTATTAAATGTGGGATGTCTTTCAGATGTTGCTGAACTGCAACTCCCATCATTTCTCACAATGGATAATGTTGATTTGGGCTGATGCAAGTTGTAGTCCTTCAACAATTGGCAGCTGCACATTCCCCATTCCCGTATGAGATACAGAATTATTCATTATTGACTCCTTTCTCTTTCCTTTAGTTCTTCAGAAGGATGCCAGTTAGTGAGCTTTAGAAAATTAGTTTGAATACTATGAAATTGAAATACAAAAATGTAAAACAGGAGGAAAATGCACCTGGGATTACTGACTCATGTAGATTATGCCAGTAGACACCACATGGGATTCCTTTAAGGTAGAAACTGCTAATGTGAAATTTCTATTTACGGTATTTAGATTTGAGGTGACTTTGATCCCTTTGTCTATAGCTTGCCTACAGTAATTGAATTGGCCTTGCAGCCTGGTGCCCTTGGGATGTGTTGTATTACAAGTGGCCAATGGCGGGCTGCAGATGAAGGGAATCATGTGTTGGATGAGAGTGCAACATTAGGCAGCAGAGAGCTTAGGCTGCAAAACTCCATAAAGTTTTCCTAGGAGTAAGCTCTGAGTAGAGATGGATAGGTTTGTATAGTATGAGAATTTTAACTAAGTGATGTGTCATCTGGTTATTTTTGACTGGGTGTTAAGAATTGTAATACAGTATTCGCAGCCCTACTGTGGAAAATAGCAAACCTTATTGAATGAATGACTTCCTAAGGAAGCATACCAAAGAATTGTGCTGGAGAACCCTAGGGAATACATAGAGAGGACATACAGGTATAGCATTTCCCCCAAAATGTATAGTTAAAATAATCTATGGTGATTATTGGAAGGATACATAAGCACATTTCCATTGAAGAAGGTTAGAATAATGATTTAATCAGTTAGACAGTCTTATCTTAAATTACATTTAACCCACTGATGCCTCAATTAATGTAATTTTATTGGTATCTATTTTTATATTCAAATTTACTAGTAGCTGCTGCATTTCCCACCCTCGGCTTATACTCGAGTTAAGAAGTTTTCCCAATTTTTTTGTGGTAAAATTAGGTGCCTCGGCTTATATTCAGTTCGGCTTATACTCAAGTACATACGATAAATCCAAGATCATATTAGACTGTCTGCAGAATGTAACTCTTCATCATATATTTTTGTTGATGCTTCTGTCCTCATTGCACAGTGATAAAGGGAAGGATCCTCCAACATCTGTGCAATGGACTGCCTTTGTGGTGATGTGTGGAGGTTCCTCAATAGAGGCCGGATGACTATCTTTTAGGAGTTATATATTGTTGCATGACATGCCGTTGGACTAAATGGCCATTACAATCTTTTGCAAGTCTATGATTCCAGTTTCAATCACTGCCTGGCTGTGGATGGACCTAAGAAAGAGATGAGCAGAGATTGTGTTTCTAAAAGCATTTTCCCATTAGCTGCTTGATTCTCAGTATTCTTGTAAAACCATTCTAATCAATTATGTGCTCTGAAAGTGATTCTAGATTCTAGATATTGCTGACAATATTAGAACATCTGATAAGCCTAACGTGTCATTTATGCTTTAAGATAAACACTCACATGTCATTTTTAATAAAAGGAATCATTTATTTCAGTTTAAGGCAATCCAATAGAAACCATATTACAACAGACATTCAACGTAGAATACAGTAGCATAAAAGATATAAATAGCCATGCAAATAAAAATAGTTGTGAAGTGGGAGGGCAATGAGGAGAAAGTGAAAACATGCAAGATGGGTGTAAGAATCACCAGAAGTTAGAGGAAAGTGTTGATGTGGGGAGTAGACAATATACAGAACAGAATTTCTCCATGCTTTCCAATGAGGTTGCCTGGAGAATACCTATCTCCTTCACTGCCACCTGAGAATGACTCTCTGGACCTATGACTTTTCAGGTGTATCAGATTCTGTATCTGATCTTATACACACACTATACATTTTTGTTCCTGGAATGTTTCACTTCCACACTGTCTCTATAAACCCCAGGGCACAAATTCATACAACCTATGTCACTTACAACTGAGAAGAGGATTACTTTGCCACGAGTCACTCAACACATCTATTTTACAGATGTGGCAAAGACAAATTGCAAACTTCAGTTGTATTTGCCATTTTGTAACCCTGGACAGAGAGACAGAGCACAAATACCATGGGCAAATACTGTTCAGTAGTATCTCTGCTCCTTCAGAGCTGGGCATCCATGTTAAACTGCCTCTTCTAGGTTGACCATGGTGGCTGGTGGTTTTCCTGTTACCTGAGTGGTGAATCTACATCAAGTTTCATCCTAATTGTAAAGGAGCTATTCAAGGAGCAGAACCCCTTGAAGATAGGCTTTAATACTGTGCATGGCTCCTTTAAAGTTTGGTCTAAAACCAGAGTGGATTCCATACTCCTTGACAAGGAAACCACCAGGTGCTTTTGAATGTGACTTTGGTTATAAATGGTAGGAAGGGATGTAGTATGACTCAATACTGTTAAGACAAATAACAAAGGCAGAGAAGTTATGTTTTCAGCACTTCTCTTCTTCTAGAGCAGTGGTTCTCAACCTGAGGGTCCTCAGGTGTTTTGGCCTACAGCTCCCAGAAATCCTAGCCTGTTTACAGCTGTTAGGATTTCTGGGAATTAAAGGCCAAAACATCCGGGGATCCACAGGTTGAGAACCACTGTTCTAGAGCTTGGAAGACCATATATGTGTGGAGATTGCTCTTTGAAAGAAGAATCCACATCCCAAAGCTATCTCACTGGAAAATCTTCCATTTATCATACCTAGTTATGGATTTCTTCTGAATTGGTTATCCAGCATGGGAGAGAATTTCATACAAACATTGAGAATGTTGAGTTATAGTTCTTTCCACATCAACAGACAATTCAAATCTGGGAGGGGCCTGCTTCCAGACAAGGGTTTTATCCAACAATCACTAAGGCCATATTTTATGGGCAGATCCAGTAATTTTGTTCAGTAGCATTAGGAGCTCTTCATCTGGAAATACGCAAAATTCCCTGGATGGCATGGCCAACCTCTTCTCCAGATATATGTTAGCATCCTCTTTACTTATGTCATAGCTAGGGGTCATAGTGTAACCACTTTTTGCAATAGTGAAATGAGGTATCCAGTACCTTTTTGTGCAACAACTTCTCTCAGCTGTTAAGGTGGCCACCAGAAAATGGCCGGTAGAGCTTATCCCCCTCCAACTCAAATGACTGCCTTGTTGGAGGATGCACTGAGATGGCTCCGTTGCACCCAGTTGGCAGCTCTTGCTCTCTTGGACCTCCTTCACAAACTGTGCTCCAACAACATGAAACAAACTTTTGGCCTAAGAGATCTGAAGAATTCAGGACAGCTTCTCTAGGATAGATTTTTGTCCAGGTTATCAGCCTCCCTGCAGTATCTTGAGAGCAAGTGACATGGGAAGACAGTTTGATTTTTTAAATGGGGATTTTAATGGGTTGAGATTTAAATTTCAATAGATTTTTTAAAAAGTTATTCACACACACTGGAGATGTCTTGTGAAAGATAGATCAAGTATATGGTAGGTACTTTATTGAGACAAACTTGAAAAAGAGAGGCTGGAATATATTTTTGTGGACCTGTATAAACAACATCTTTGGACTCTCAGAAGCTTTTTCAACTGTGACCATTTTTAATCCTAGAGCATTTAGGAACTCAGTGGTCATCATTTCATATTGATTTCACTTCCAGTTGTCCTCTAAGAGTTTGATCTAGAGGTTATGAAGCTACTTAAGGAATATCATTTGGAGATAGCAACCCCTCATTATTTTGGGGCAGTCAGTGTTGTTATGTGAAGAGATGGATAATGTGTTGGGAGTGATGTGGGGGAAATGATGTAGGAACGGAAGTGATCATGGGTAACAGGGACTATGAATGAGAAGAAAAGGGATGTGAAAAGAATAAGGAAAAAGCTTCTTTGCCAGCAATATCAGTGAGGCGATCTACAAGTGAAGCAGATGTGGAAAAGGCCACTTGTTTGGAACATTTGGTGTGAACAAGGGACTGGATGATATGCTTGACTAAGAATTTGTAAAGTGTAAGCCACCCTGAGTCAATGGAAGAGGACAGTTGTATTACTGAAACAAGAGAGCAATATAAGGGCTTCCCAAAAAAATGAAGTAACTGTTTGGGAACTTGCTGAGACTCTTCCTGACTGCTTCAAAGCAGGAATAGAGAACCTGAAGTCCAAAAGCATTTGGAGGACAACAGGTCTCTCACCTTTCTCTCCCTTAGCATTATATGCATGTTGAGTGATCCAGGCCAGCTGGAGTTTTTATGCAGCAGCTCTGTATCTTACAAAAGATTAACATGTTGCAAGGACCCAGTAAAGTGCAACACCAGAATGTGGAAAGAACTACAACCATGGATCACATGGGAAGCAACTTTCCTCATCCCTCTGTAAACACATATTTAAAGCCTAAACCTCAGGCCTCTGCTGCCTGAGAAGGCTGGCTATTGATGTAATGCTACTAACTTGAGGGTCAGAACTGCAATAAGGTCAAAAATCTGGCCCAGTTTTAATTTTCATCTCTCTTACTGAGAACATCATATACAGAACATACAAAATCTCAAACTCTAAAAATGGTAGTTTGCTGAAAACCAGGACTTTATAAAAATGAAAGGGAACATAATAGAAGCACAGAAACAAACCAAAGGACAAACGGTTCGGGTCTGCACAAATATTTGCCAAAGTAGATTTACAAAGTATTAAAGGGGATTTCAACAACCAAGGGACAGGATGCAGAACAAAGAACAGCAATAACACCAGTAGCTTAAGAGATGACAATCACACAGACACTTGATCACAATATTCAGCCTGCCAGGTTAATCCATAAGCGAAGCCATTACAAAGCAAGAAGACGTAGGGCGGCAGGTGGACTATAAAAAACAAGTCATTCAGAAACTGATGTTGGGTTAGGAAAAAAGGAGAGATGCTTGGAAAATTGGGGAAGTTGTTGTTCCATCACACACACCATAAAGCAACACACAGGAGAGACAGGATTCCTGTCACCTCCATAGCCTTCCCAAGTACAAAGAAGCTTGCCAATGATTGGGGTTTTCCTGTATAAAAAAGACAAAAACCACATTTCCCCCAAGTTGCTGCATCTCAAGGATGGGGTATCTTTACCAATTATGCAAACTGCTTTGTCAAAATTACAGGACAGACTAGTTCCTGCTTTTGGACTTTTGGGGATGTAAAGAGTAGACTGTGGCTTTTCATGTTGTGTTGTGGCCGCTGCCTTGAGGTCTGCCCTCTGGGAATTGATGGTTGACACAAGAGTGTGACTTGTGTTTCGTTGGCACCTGCCTGGTGTGCTCTTTTCTCTTCCTCTCCTGATCTTCAAATCTCTGTCTGAAGGGTGTGTCCTGTAGGGGTGTATGGAGGGGGTGCCGGGTTGGGTTTGATGCCGCGTCCCTTCATGTAGGAGATGAACTGATCTGGGATCTCCGCCAGCACATCCTTAGCCAGCCGGGCCATGCTCAGAACATGGTTCCCTGTACGGTCAATGTAATCTCGAAATGGAACAAACTGGGAGGGGAAAAAAACAATATTTCAAAGACATGAAAAGCAGAATAAAGATTATGTAAAAGCCAATGGCCTAAGTCCAATTTCTAGTCCCAGCTAAAAGGGATTTCATGAATCAATGTTGAACTGATTCAACACTTATGTAAATTGCTTTTAAACCAAAGAAAAGCTCAGAAAGGCTACTTTTGGGGTGAGGGTTCTTGGAATTCTTCACACAAAGCAACCACTGAGTGTGCAGGCTGAAAATTTTGGATAATTTTTTAAAGCTGTACTTCTAAATTCCTATCTTGACACCTTTTGTTAACACCCACCTCCTCCTGCAATGTAGACATGGCTGGTTCTGCTGTTCCTCACTTTTGCTCTTGCTGGAGGTATTATTTCCACACACCACCTTAAGCAGGAGCACCTCAGCAAGCGAGAATCCAAAAGTGGCAGGTTAAAATCCAGCACCCTAATCAGTGGCTGAGCCCGGATGAGAAACTCCCTCCTGGGCACACAGAAGATTGGGTGAGCTGAAAGGTGCTGAACAGGCCCTGCTCTGGCAACCTTCAGAAATGAGGCTACAAAGTGGCGTCCATGACATGTGAGTGTGGAGAAGAGCAAACCACAGACCACCTATTACAATGCAGCCTGAGCCCTGCCACATGCACAATGCAGGACCTTCTCACAGCGACAGGGGCACTCCAAGTGGCCAGCTTCTGGTCAAAGAACATTMAGCATAATGCCAAGTTTTTTTATTTATTATTATTTATTTACATTATTTCTATCCTGCCCATTTCAGACCGAAGGTGACTCAGAGCGGTATAAACAGTCGGCACAATTCGATGCCGAAARGTATTACATARATTAATAAAGRAAAAACATCAAGTGCAATTAAACATAAACGACAYTGCATAATAAACAATTTAAAAAGAAACTATGTCCTCTCGTTCAAATCTTCATCCGTTACATTGTCTTGGCTGTTCCTGGGTCAATTTCCAACTCTAGTTTGTCTGTTTAATTTTGTTTATTTACAATGCCTTGTAACTGTACCCTCAACTTGCTTCTGACACACACACAAAAAAAAAACCCATCTCAAGCAGACTTAGAATCATGGAAACCCTTCAGTTCTTAACTATTCTGAAACAAGAGTGGCACACAATTTCAGAGGCCAGGTAGGTGGATGACTGTATGCACTCATGTATAAGTCAACCTCACATATAAATTGAGGCCTCTGGTCACTCCCTCCATTTCCCCACCCAGGCATTCAAAAAGGCCAGAAGCAATGCCATAGAGGAGGTCAGTGCTTTTTTAAAAGGTTCTTCCAGAATAGACAAAGCTCTTTGTTCATAGAAAAGGGCATCGTTCCTTTTCTCTTATGAATTAAAGCACAGTACTTTATACTTTTTGAGTATAGGAATATAGGATATATGAAATCTTTACCTGGACAATGTCACGTTCAGCAATCTTCCCACGAGATGAAATTCGAATAGCATCTCCGTCCAACTCCACCATAGCTATCAATTGCAGGCAAAAGGATTAGGAACAACAAGGATTAATCACTACGACTGAAGGAGCACCACAAGAGATTCTCAAAACCCATCTGTGTAATGGTTGATTAGAAGACCAATTGTCTCAAAAAAAAGCAATTTAAAGAAATGGCACAACTATTTTCTTGGTCAGACTTAAGCAGGATTCACATGCTTTCTTTCTTTCTTTCTTTCTTTCTTTCTTTCTTTCTTTCTTTCTTTCTTTTCTTTCTTTCTTTCTTTCTTTACATATTGTAACGTTCTCAGTTAATGGCCCCATCAGTGCTCATTTGTCATTGTTCACTGGATGGTACAAGTAATTGGTTATATTTTACCTGTTAATTATATTATGTAGACTTCAAGCAAGGGACTGATTTTTGCACTGGAGGCTGACATTAAATATGTAGTGCAAACATGTATATGACCACAGTTAGTTCTTGCTTAGCAGTGCCTTCAGCATATATTGCTGTTTGCTGATCTTTTAAAAATGAAGCATATGCCTTCAGTTTCGTACTGACAGAAGTGTAGATGGTTTTGCAGTCTTTCTTTTCTGATTTCCTACAATTCAGGTATGTGGTGAGCACCTGATACCTAAGGATAAATGTTACACACACCCAACAATTTATCTCTGTGTAGACTGGGCTGTGGCGCAGCTAGCTGATAGATAGCTGCATTAAACCACTACTGACCAAGAGGTCATGAGTTCGAAGCCAGCCTGGGTTGGAGTGAGCTTCTGACCATTAGTCTAGCTTGCTGTAGACCTTTGCAGCCTGAAAGACAGTTGCATCTGTCAAGTAGGAAATTTAGGTACCGCTTTATGCGGGGAGGCTAATTTAACTAATTTTATGATGCCATAAAAAACATCCCAGCAGCATGCAGAAAAATGAGGAAGTACTCCATCAAAAGACTTGGTGCCATAAATGAAGCAGCAGCTCCCCCTGTGGCCGGAATCGAGTTGGAATTGAGCACACCCTCATGAAGCTGGAAAAGCTGGAATGTTAGATTGCCTCTGTGTCTGTCTATATATATGTTGTATGTCTAAATGGCATTGAATGTTTAGTATGTATATGTACTCCCTGAGTCCCCTGCGGAGTGAGAAGGGTGGAATATAAATACAATAAATAAATAAATAAATAAATAAATTTTCATCTCTCTCTTTTTAGTGTAATAAGGGAGGTTTGAGTGGGGGAGGATCTTGCTTGAATATTTTCTAATAAAACTTAGGAAAGGTTATGTTTGTTTTCTTTTGGGGCTTCTAGAAGTATTATGGCATCAAAAACATTGTCAAACTGAAGGGCTGCTGGAAAAACTCTCACAGACTGAGAGCTCATGTATTAAGAGAGGTGACATTGCACTGCCACCAGGGAATTCAGAATTATCTTTGCAAGAAGCTCCAGAATTTGTGTCTATAAGTGTCCAATTCATTGCTGGCTACAGTGTTGGAAGAATTTAGAGCTTGGTATCACAAAATACGGATACTTTTCTTCACCAACCAAAACGCACAATACATTGTGCAAGGTTTTGATGTTCCACTGACTTCTTCATCGTATAAGAGAAGAAAGTGATAATGTTTGAGTTATAGGGCCATATTTAGTGTCAGATGCTGTTTTTGTTATAATTCATTTGGTTTGGTCTGATCTTCGCAATGCAGGCCAAGGCCATTTTCCTTTCTTGTCTATGTAAAGATGAGACAAGGACAGTAAAGGTGAACTTCTCCTGGGGACCAGATTGTTTCAGTCCTTTGTGAAGCTACAGTAACTTCTCCTGGGGACCAGATTGTTTCAGTCCTTTGTGAGGCTACAGATCCCTTAGGCAGAGAACAAAATTCACTGGTGGAAATGTTCTCCATACCCTAAGAGGGCATTTGGAGGCAAAATAGTTATTTTTGTAAACATAGGAGTTTATTTCTATGCATGGTTGACAAAATATCAGTGTTGGCGGATAGTAAATAACACCGATGAAGTTTTACTGGACTGTGGAAATTTCTTTCTGTGTTGTTCCATGAGCACATTTTTATGGGTGGCTGATACAGTTAATTTTGCTGTGGATTCAGAATAAGGTTGTGATTACTTCATGCTAGCTTTAGCCCAGTCATAACTGCTGCCAATATAGCATGTGTACAGCATAATAAGATTTTTAGTAAAGGCATATGAAATACCTCACATTTCATTATTGGAAATAATTTGACACAAATTTCATCCTTACCATCAAATTCAGCCTGGCCAACTCCCACAATGATTATGGACATTGGAAGCTTGGCAGCCTTAGAACCAATAGGAAAAAAAAGAGAATTAATGTAATTGTGGAGGTGGAGAGGATTAGGGTCAATAGATGTGGAGAAAGTAAAAGGAACAGCATGGATTTCAGATAGCAAGTTATAAGATGGGTAGACAACTTATTTTTCTCCAGATGTTGTTGGACTGCAACTTTTCCCAATACTAGTTAGCATTTGCCAATGGCAAAGGATGATGGGAGTTACAGTTGAATAACAACTAGAGGTGATGGGAATCACAGTTTGGTACCATTTGGTTGAACACACAATCTCCATCTCAAGTATAGTGTTGTTGAAATAACTATGAAGTGTTAAGCACTATTGGCTAAATCCAGTTACTGATCCCAGCTAGCATAGATTCATTGAACAAGTGGGAATAAGATATGTTTACACTCATGCAGAGCTCATTAACTCAATGCTGCTTTCCAGGTTGGCACTCACAATTGAATTTAACCCTAGGTGGCTCCTGAATCTTTTAAGAAATGCTATATTAGCAGTGCTATCAGAGCAGAAATTAGTTACAAAGTAGAAAGAAGTATAAACATAATTCACAAGCTTAATAAAAGAAGCAGTTCCAAATTTGTTGTTTAGAGCTAGTGGGTGGCTAACATTTTTGGTATAGGGAAATACATCTCTGCTGTGACTTCAAGACCATATCTTCTTTAGCCAGAAATCTCTCTCTCTCTCTCTCTCTCTCTCTCTCTCGCACACACACACACACATATAATATCCCACTGTGGGCAGCTTGCATATTAGCAGGACCTATGTGGCTAACATTCCTACTTGAAGCCAAAGTTTTTTTTTAAAGATTAATCATTCTGGCAGAAATCAGAACACTTTCACTTGCTTTTGCTGAATTGCCAAAACAAACCCACTAGTCTGTGCTACTCACGTTGACAATTGCTTCCTTTGTCTGGGCCATGTCTGAAATCACACCATCAGTGATGATGAGCAAAACAAAATATTGGGAGCCATCCTGCACAGCTGCAGCATATCTGTATTAGAAGGAACAAAGTTGAATTCTGTCAGAGTGGCCTGAAATCTTCCTTTTAAAACCCATCTTTTCACCTGAATGAATTGCCCTTATGTATTTTCAACAAGCACTGCTTGGGAAGTTGGTCTCTAGTAACTGTTCATAGCACTTTGCTGATGAGGGCTGGGAGATTAAATGAAAATTTACAAGAGAAAATGCTCCTCCTCATTGCCAATACAAAAGGAACTTTTGCTGTGAGACTCATCAATGCCAGTACATTTTCCAGACCAGTATCATTTAGAGGTCAATGTCTTGTGAAGTTCAAGCTTATATATGAAGACTGATATCCAACATCAGCTCAATAGAAGGAAGACAATGAGTGCTGGATTTACATAAGAGCTAATTAAATTACATCCTTGTTTTCTTCCCTGCTGGGCAAGATTCCATTTGATAAATTGTTGCCACTTTTCTCTTTACTAAATCACAATGGCATAAGTCTTACATCATCACAACTCACTTTTATGGTCATTGCTTAGATTGAAATTCAGTTCTGACCACTTAATGATCAAAATCCCTGCCCTCCAAACTCACCTTGTAAGCATTGCAACCCCTTCCAACATGGTAGAATTCAAAGACAAAGCCGTGTTAGTCTGGATCGGTATGCAAAGGGATATTACAGAAGGTAATTTGTCGGGGAGTGGCAGTGGGAGACACAACTACAAAATCAATCTATCTGGATTGCTCACTCAGACACACATCTTGCATGCTTTGCTATAGCATCTTGTTCGAGCAGCCAGAGGTTTCCATACTAGTGGTGCAGTGATCCCACTTTTGCTTTCATTCCAAATATTAAATAAGCAATCCAAGTTCTCAATCTATTTTTACCTATAGGGTTCAGCACCCTGGATAGCTCCTTTCAAAATGTAAATGATTTCCAGAGTCTTCACTGGACCACTAACACAGGATCCACTAGATACCCCTGCTTTGAATGCGATTTTCCTGCTCCTTGGCAGGGGGTTGGGCTGGATGGCCCACGAGGTCTCTTCCAACTCTATGATTCTGTGATTTACAGAACATACCTTGCAACATGGTTAACCACCGGCGCAAAGTTTGTTGGACCATAAAGCTGCACTGTCTTGAGGCTCTGGTGGTAGGCTTCAAGGATTCCTTCTATGCCACTACAATGAGGATTGTCAATGTTGCCATTCTGCATTAGAGAAAGGGAGACACAACTATAAGGAAAGTTCTTGAATAGAAACTGCAGCCTTGCTTCCTTTCTTATGCTCTTTCAATTCCTCTTCCATTCTTAACACTCCCTTTCAGTTAATAGCATGTTTAGCATCAACCATAAGACCTATAGGTCACATGCAACTCCCAGGGATGTTCTGTTTTGCTATCTTCTTGGAACACCAAAAGCCTTTTCCAGATACACCCAAAATCCTCCTCTAATATGTCTTCTCCTTTGAGATTGCATTTTTTTCTCCAAATTACAGCTCTCCTGTCTTACTTTACCTCAGTGGTTCTTAACCTGTGGGTCCCCAGATGTTTTGGCCTAATTACTGGTAAACTGGCTGGGATTTCTGGGAGTTGTAGGCCAAAACATCTGGGGACCCACAGGTTGAGAACCACTCCTTTACCTACTTCTCCCATCTCAAGGGGCTAACCAGGAAAGGCTTGTGAATGAGTAGATGTTTTGTCTGTTAGTAGACCCATCTGGAAGTAAAGCATAATACAGATGCAATTTCAGAATGCTCAACAGATCTCAGGAAATCTGCTTTTTATATAAAAAAATGAATATCCCATGCAGCAATGGCCAGGACAGTGAGAGTTGAAATACTGCAACGTTCAGGCTCTGAGTGTGATTCAAAAGAGGCACCATTCATACCAAGGGGAATTCATGGGAGACATGGCCATCAGGTGGGATCTTGGCTCCAAACCCAAGTGCTGGGAACATTTTGTCACTGTCATAGTCCTGGATAATCTCGCCCACAGCCTTCAGTGCCATAGCATAGGCATTAAGCTGGTAAGGATTCATGTAGTGCAGTGAAGTCGACTGAGAGGGGTTGCCTGCCAAAGAAGAGAGGAAGAAATTGATAACAGCCTTTTGTTCATTCTTTGGAAGTCTACGGTATTTGTAATGACAGCTGCCCTGTAGTAGTCCTTAGTATGCAGTATCAGGTTAAGACTCTTGTATCTCTCAAGCATTTCGTTGGTTTGCTTTGTAGCTACACAAACAGACATTTAAACTGTATTTCAAACACTGCTTTATACACCATAAAACAACTTTGTAGTGCTGTTTGATCAACTGTATTCTCTTTTAGGCATTAGATTAAAATATTTTTATTCTCTCAGGCATTTTAATGTTTTGCATTTTAAGTATTTGAAGAATATTGTAAACACTAGTGGGAAGGTTTTCACTGATGTTTTATTAACTGCACTATTTTTCTATTGATTTTAACAGCTTTATTGGACATCTTACCATTGTAATTGGTGTTGTAAACTACCATGGGATAAATATTATGGAAGGCAATGCATAAACAGCTTAAACAAACAAATAAGTGACATACAGTATGAAAGCATCAGGCAATTTCTCTCTGATGAGTTGGCCCGTGCAACATACTATTAGCATTCATACCTGTTTTTTTAAACTTGCCTGAGTCTGGCCAAGAATTAAGATCAGAGAGCCTCCTTTATGGCATACTAATGAGAATTGTTAGTCTGCTAGGCCACCTCATTACTTTTTAATATTGATTTCCTTCTACAAAGCAATGAACAGGCCATGCAATGAGCAATGTATTAAGGAAGGCTGTACTAACATAAGTATTCCTTTTGAAAAGCATTATTCTAGGAGTTGTATTATACTTCCTTGTGCAATGCCTTTGGCTCTAGCAATGCAAGAGCAGCAGGAAAATCTGCTATCTCCAAGTTCCTTACTGGCAGTGGAGTACATTTGGTTGAAAGTCAGTAATTCCTGGAAATCTGGTAATGAAGTATATGCCATTTTCTGGTGAGCAAACCCCCCACCACCACCACCACCTTTCTGGTGTGCAAGGATAGCTGAATGATCCCCAGATGCATGTGCCACAGCCAACAAGTGGCCAAGGCAACCTTTATTGTGGGGGAAAAGATTCAACCTAGAGGCTGGATGGCCATCTGTCAGGGGTGATTTGAATGCAATATTCCTGCTTCTTGGCAGGGGGTTGGACTGGATGGCCCATGAGGTCTCTTCCAACTCTTTGATTCTATGATTCTATGAAACATTAGGAAGAACTTCTTGATGGTAAGAGCTGTTTGGCAGTGGAATATGCCTTGGAGTGTGGTGGAGTTTCCTTCTCTGGAGGTTTTTAAGCAAAGGCCATCTGTCAGGGGTGCTTTCATTGTGGTATTCCTGAATGGCAGGGGTTTGGACTTGGTGGCCCTTGTCTCTTCCAGCTCTATGATTCTTTGATCCTGTAGTGCATAATCATTAACAATTTTTCCAGCAATTGCATTGTATCTTGGATTTTGAGTGTACATGGAGGGTTTTAGAAGGAGAAAGAGTCTAATCCCCCTTTCCACAGTTGGAAACAGTTCCAAGAGAAAAGTGATTCCATTAGATCTCTTGCTAGATTGCTAGTGGTGTTTCCCCTGAAAGTTACTCAACTATCTTTAATCTTTCTCTGTATGTATGTTCTTTCAAGCTGCCTGAATTTATGGTAATTATGGGTTTCATTGGGTTTTCCTAGGGAAGGAATACTTAAAGGTGACTTTGCCAGCTCTTTCCTCTGAAATAACTTCCAGATTACATTTTAAGGAGAAGGTAGGGTCGGCCCAGGTGAACGGCTGTCTCTTTGGAATTCTTTTGTGCTTCAGTGTATACTTGGCACGCAAACCAGACATTTGTTTTGAGCATGCATTAGTGTGTTGTCACTGAATCCTGTTTAACTAAGCAAGATTTAAGAGGGACACAAAGTTCATGTCTAAAGTGGTTTGAAACTTCAGGGCAAGGTTGATGCAGGAGAGAAAGGACTAGCCCGTGCAATGCTGCACATAGCCTCATCACACTGCGTCATTTCTCACATGCACTTTTATCCCAACCAGGCTTACTTTTTGCATATAATGTTTCATGAAACTAGATGTAAGCAAACAAAGTTTCTGGATTTAACACTGAATAGATTAGCACAGTGTCATCTGTTTTACACAATGGACAGTACAACCCTAACTCAAGAGTTGTGCCAGCTGATTTCAGAAGTATGTTGACAGACCAATCTCTTGGCAGAACTGCTCTGGGGGCTGAGATCTGCCAGAAGAAGAGGCTCCTCTCCCAACCAAAAAGGGAAGATATCAGGAGAGGAAGGAGCCAAGTCACACCTGAAGTAAATCATCCCCAGGCCAGGGACAAAGCCAGAATGCTCGGTTGGCTGTCTTCGTATATTGTGATTACATTCCCAAATGACTGCATACTCCCTGAGGGGAAAAGCCTATGAATCATGTAAACATGCTTGAGACTATGATGAGACTAGAGTCAATAAATATGTACATCACAAAATATATTTGGTAAACTTTGGAAAATATATATGGATCCTTTAAAATATCTGCTATCAAAGCAACTTACCATTAGAAGCTGTGAAGTCAATGGCCACAGTGAAATTGATCTGTGTCCTACAAAAAGGTCACAGCACAAACATTAATAATTATTATACCAATCAGCACTTTGATTAGCCCAGAACCTTGGAGACAAATAGTGGTCTCTGGGTGACACCTTGGACTATCACATCTCAGATTCATCTTCCCTTTCTACCATCAACTGTAAATACAGTAGACCCTTTGTACCTGCTTGCCTATCAAAATCCATGGATAACAAGTCCCATTATATACATTGGTATAGTGAAATGGTGCCCTTTATTCAAAACTGCAAAATTGAGTTTGCTTTTTGGATTTTTAAAATAACATTTTCAAATTGTGGATGTAATAGAGTTGATTGTATACACAAACCTCATTTTTTTATAATAAACACTCACAACAGTGTTCCAAGAAAGGGGTCAAAAAGTCAAATTAAGTTGACCAGTAGGGAAATGATACATTTTAAAGTGCAAACTCTGATTGTGGCCATGGTCATGCTCCCAAGGAGAATTCAAAAATATTGGTCACTACGTTGAACCACATTTATAGTTGTGTCTGTGCACGCACAGTTATAGATATAAATATTTAATATTTGTATATTTAATGTGCCACCTTATCCTTACCAAGGCAATTTGCTGGTCAACTTGCTTCTTATCATCCAATTAACTGACTTCAGACAGTTGTTTCTGCTTCAACAAGTAGCTCTTATCTGTTACTTACATTACTGCCTTAGTTACAACAGATTGGGACTTCTATGCTTCTTGTTCACGATGAAAAAGAGACAAAACCATGGCGTCTGCTATATTTATACCAAACTGTTATCAGCTCATTAATTCAGTGTCCAACCTCCTTGTCTATAGCAACATCTTCCTTGTCTGTTCTACACATGCTTCATAACATTACAAAGGTTTAACTCATTCATTACTTGCAGCTTGGATTTTTACGTAGGCCATTTCCACAATCTATTACCTGCCCTAACAATCCTGACATGGGATCCAATATGACTTACAACAAAATTACAAGATTGAGCTAAAAACCTGACTAAAAACTGAAAGCCAAATGAAAATATAGCATATTATGGCATTCATTTTAAAACGTATGCGAAACATAATAGATGAAAGTGCAGCAAGCCCTCATAATAAAGACTCCTCAGGAACAAATCACTTATTATATAAATTATCAAATTAGTCACATCACTTGTTTAAAGAAAATGGTCCTTGTGCACACATTTCAAAGATATACTGCCCTACATCCCAGGATCTGACATCAGATTATCTAGAGAAGGGAAGCCCTGTTTGAAGGAAAAGTCTTTCATGGAATTGTTATTGTGTGTGTGTGTGTGTGTGTGTGTGTGTGTGTCAGGCATGGGCAAACCTTTTGACCAACATAAACTTAACAGTATTTCAGTGGAAGACCCCAGAGGCCACCCAGTCCATTCCCCTTCTGCTATGCAGGAAAAGCACAATCAAAGCACCCCTTGAGTAGTGGGAGGGAGATAGGATTTTGGAAGCAAGAGGAAAAAGGGATTATGGGGGTGAGGGAAGGAAGAAAAAAGGCTTTGGGGCAAAGGAAACAAGGGGAAAAGGCTTTTGGCAGCAAGGGAGATGGGCGGGGGAGGGGGAGAGGAGTGGGAGGAGGAAGGTATCGAGTCCCTGAGTAAGACAAAGATGCTCAGCAATACATGTAGTTTAACTGAGTGATCTCACCAGTACTGGTGCAAAAGGTATCATACATAGAAATTGAATGGAAATACTAAGCCAACACTGATAGAATGCTGGAGATTCCTACCATGTCTTTGTAAGGCTAAAGTGAACCCTTCATTCTAGTCCTGTTCTAAGGTTTTTCTGGAATTTGAACACTTGACAACAAAGCCTACAGTTAATGCTTTAATGTTCCTCTCTTCATTGCACATTATTGATTTCAAGTTCATTCACTGTTCTCTGCAAAATTACCGTATCTTCCATATTTGTGGATTACATGATGTCCATATTTCTCTCTTTATTAAGGTCCCACATCTGCAGATACGGACTTTATGATATGTGAGGGTTCATCTACACCAGTGATTTCCAATCTTTGACCTTCCATGTGTTTTGGGCTTCAGTTCCCACCATTCCTAACAGCTGGTATGATGCCTGGGATTTGTGGGAATTGAAGCTCAAAACACCTGGAGGACCAAAGGTTGGGAACCACTGATCTACATTATAGAATGAATATAGCTCGACACCACTTTAATTGTCATGGCTCAATGCTATAGAATACTGGAATTTGTAGTTTGGTGAGGTACTAGCACTCTTCAGCAGTGAAGGCTAAAGACCTTGTAAAACTACGGTTCCCACGATTCTATAACATAAAACCATGGTAGTTACAGTGGTATCAAACTGCATTATTTCTACAGTGTAAATGTATCCTTAGACAGTTTATTTGAAAGGAAAATCCTTCCAAGCCTCAAAATAGAGAGCATCCCTTATTATTTGGGACATCTGCCAGTATACCAAAGGGCAAGCTTTCTGACTCTCAAAAATAGGACATCCCTCACAAAAAGAAACAACAGCCAACCCTAGTTGGAATACAGTGCCCAACATTCCCATTCCAATCTGGCAAAGGCTGGTGTACAGAATGCCAAGTTGTGATTCTATTCTTTTGAGAATCTCAAGAATTTCCAATGTTTTGTTGACACGTTAAGTCCCAGATGCCTGCACTAAGTGGAAGCAAACTTCACTGCTAGGAAGAATGCAGTACATCAGCCATATATTATCTTTCCTTTGTTTCTCTAGGACTGAAAGGAAGCAGGGCCAAGTCCCGGAGCTGGGCTCCCCTTCCCAGTGGATGAGAGGCAGTGGTTTAGGGGACATGGAACATTAGTGCTGATAAAAGGGATGATTGAAAAGCCTGTCATCAGACATTTCTCCAGCAGCCTTCTCAGATGAAATTCCAAGCCTGTCATCTCCTACCCTCCGTCAATATCAATTGCTCCCATGACATACCCTTCAGATGTCATGCAAGCATCCTAATGAAAAAAACAGGGCTGTCAAAGGAAGATAACATTTAAAATGCTGGTTAGATAGGCAGAGACAAGGCCAGCGGGAAAGGCTTTTTTGTTTTGCTGCTGTTCTAGAGATGGCACAGGGTAGCTGGAGTAGGAGAGGGTGGGCAAGTCCCCTGAAGCCAGTGGGGAAGAATGAAAGCAGGGAAGCATCTCTGGCAGTGCAAAGATTAGGATGCCCCACTGACTTCCATGTGAGATTCTCTTATTGGCGGCTTTTGAATAGTTGTAACTGAGGATAAAGGAAAAGGAACACAAAAATAAATGCAGCATAATAGACTGCAATAAAATAATGTGATAAAACCCACTCCTGGGGTCGGAGTAATCCAAGCGCTTGAGTGAGCAACTCCAAACAAGCCCAAAATGTATGGATGAATTTTTCACTGCCATTCTTGGACCACAGGCTACTGGTGAACCTACTCCTGTTGCAGGGCTAGGGGAACAGAAAGAGTCACTAAGGAAAGTTAGCCCTCAGCCCCTCTGGTTGTTGTTATGTCTCCAGTAGCATATTTGGGTGCCTGGGCAACTAGCCAATTCTTGTTGATCAAGTTGACAGATCAGGAGCTTCTGAACACTAAACAGGATAGAAGATGTTGCTGATGGTGGGCATAGATTGGTAGACGTGCCCATGAACAGATAGTCTCAAAACAAGTCATGAATAGTAGATCAGCCAAGTTCAGGACTTCAGGAGAATCCCAGTTTTTCTAGCATTTTGGAAATTTGGCTCATAACAACTCCAATTGAATAAGTTCAGTAGGGAAGCTGCACATTAATTCCATAAACCAAGGCTGGGACTCATGTAGATTATGCATCCTGGAAAATAGAGGCAGAATAACAATCTTAGGTGGAATAGATGAGGGATGCTGGGAGTTGCAAGCTAACCACATCTGGAGGACTTTGTGGTTACATATATTGTTGAACTACCAGTCGCAGCACCCCAACCAACATAAAAAATGATACGGACTGATGAAAATTGCAGTTTTGTTAATACCTGGTTGCAGATATTGTTGAATTACCAGTCACAGCACTCCTAGTCAACACAGAAAATGGTAAGGACTGATGGAAATTGCAGTTTACTTAACATCTGGAGAGTTTCATGGTCATAAGTAATCCCCTCCAAGCCTGTCACATTTTTTTTTGCTTTTTTTCAGCAACCCTCCCTTAACATTTCCTGAGTAAGTTTGTTTAAGCTGCCAAAATGTTACAAGATTATATGAATCCACCCATTTCACAGAAGAAAACTGGCATTAAGTGGTTGCCAACTATTTTATTCGTCTTGTTCTTGTGTTTCTAACAACCAAAGCTGCACAGATGTTGGGAGACCTACTGCAGTGTGTCCACAACAATTCTGGTCTCATTTCAGGGGGGAAACTGCAAACAAGATAAGCAATGGGCAAAATGGTTTCCCAAGACTGAGGCAGGACACCTTCCAGCTTGTATATCATGTAATATGTTCAAAGCATTCTCCAGATGGGTTGGGTTACAACTTTCATCACTCCATGCAGCATAGCCATGGCATAACACAATTAGTGTTAACTAATTCATTTGGGAGAGGCCAATTTAAATGTTGGGAGTACCCACCATGCTGGAAAACAGCTACTTATGGGTTCTTCAAAGGGAAAACTTTATTTAGGCCTTTTCCACACAACAAAATCATAGCAATTTGATCCCATTTTAATTGCCATGGTTGCCTCCTATGGATTCCTGGGATTTCTAGTCTACTGAGGCATTAGAATCCTGAATATTTCACAAATCTATAAACCTGAGAATCACAGTTAAAGTGGAACGAATGGATTATCAGTGTGTAAAGTGAAAGAGATCTTATATCTGCATGAGGATGAAAAGGTAATTGTATTTATTTACATTAATTTTACATTAATATTCCACCTTTCCTCTGGCAAGTTCATGTTCTTCTCTATATGTCCTGACAATAACCGTGTAAGGTAGGGCGGTTTAAAAAAGCATGACTGGCCTAAGGTCAACTGGAGAGTTTTGT